GGGTTTCTCTCTCAAACGCAGGCACCCCCTCACCCTGTGGTCATCCACTTTACCAGCTCCTGTTCTAGGAGCCCTCAGTGGCTGCTGCAGCCTCAGTTTCCCAGGGAAACGTCCACCAGCTTGGAGATGGGTAAGGGAGGCACTGAGCAGTGTTCCAGGCTGAGCCCTCCCCTTGGGCAGACCTCCTCGAGCTCAGTCCGCATCTTGGCCAGCTCTGAGCCCACCTCCTGCAAAGAAGTCTGAGACGGAAGACGGTGGGGCTGGCCCGTGTCTTGATCTGGGGCCCCCCTCAAGAACTTCGCTCCCCCTTGGATTCAGAGCTCTAGCCTCACAGGGGCCTTCCTGGGGACTGTGCTTTGCCACAGAGAAGAGGCCACCATGGCGGCATCAGGTGCAGTGCTGACGGAACAGCACCAGGGGACGGAGCGAGAGGGTGCACCGTCCCCTCCAAGCTGCGTGGGTGACTGAAGGCCCAACACGTGCCCTGAACCCCAGATCCTGCAATTCCCTCTTTCCTTTAACCCCTGAGTCCCACAGCGCTCCCTGTACAGATAGTACTGCTCAGCCCAGGAGCTCAGGCCGCCTCCATCTCCACGTCCTGCACAGGGCTGAGCCCGCAAAGCCTTGGTCCCTAACACACTGGTTTCATCACATCAGTTGGTGAGTCCACCCTGCCAAGGAGCGACACCTCGTCCCCTCTCAGGGCCACGCTGAGGTGGCTTGAGGGCAGGGCAGCCGGGGTTCCAGCCTGGGATGAGTCTAGGCTGAGCCCTCGGTGCTCAGTGGAGAGCCCCCATCCCGAATCACTGGATCCACAAGCCAGGCTCCCCACTCCATCCCCTGCTCCCCGACCCAGGCCCCGCCTTCCCTTCTCCACATGGCACCTGTCGCAGCTCCTCCAGCTCCAGAAAACAAGGGCCCAGTGTGGTCCCAGAGACCCCAGTCCACATGGCAATGGGAGACCAGAGCCAAGATCTCTGCCTGGGAGGTCCCACCTCCAGACTGATCTCTCATCCCTGGAGGGGACTGTCCCAGCTCCACCCCAGCCTGTCCCTGAGCTCACCTATCGGCCTCTGGTGGAGTCCACATTGCAGATTCAGGCTCCTTGGCAGACCTGGGCTCCCACAGCTCATGGGGGCTGGGAGACAGAGATGCCGCTGGGTGTGGCAGGGATGGCAGGACGCTGTTCCCTTGCCGCCACCCCGTTCTGTGCATCATTAGCTCCACCAAGGCCCCTGGGCAACTCAGCTGAGGCACAGGCCCAGTTCTATAGAGCTTGGGAGACCGTGCAGCAGGGACGGTGAGCCAGTGGGTACACTGAACAGGGTCATGGGATCCCTGAGTGTCAGAGCTCCCCAGAGTCCCATTCCCGCACCACACCCAGTGTACACATGGAACTGTACAGGTGAGCCCCACACCCAGTGTGCAGATGGAACTGTACAGGTGAGTCCCAGAAACAGCAAGAGGCTTGGTCGGAGCCACTGGCCAGTTTGGGGCAGAGCTGGGACTAGATTCTCCATCGGTGTTTGTGGAACCCTTGTCACTCGACAGGCCAGCGAGGACTCCCAGCGGCTCCATCCACAGGCTGTGGGGCTGGAGAGCGGTGGGTGGGGCTTGGCTCGTGCCCACTCAGGTAAATGCCTGTATAGTCCCCCGGAGAAGCCACAGTGGGCTGAGTGGGGAAGGGGCGAAGTCGGGCCCACCTTCCACTTGCAGACTCTGGAGCTGGCCTGGGGTCTCTGCTAGGACCTGCCCTGTGGGAAGAGGGAGGTGACAAGGACTCGGGAGCATTTGGCCTGCTCCAGGTGGCTGCCCTCCCTTCAGGCTGTCAAAATTGACCGGATTCTTATGTCCCTGTCCTTGGGTGGGCATGCTCAGGCCACCCTGAGCCTGGGCACCCTGGTACTCGGGGCCAGGGTGGAGAGCTTGGGACCCATTAAACACACAGGAGGCTGAGGCCCCATAGGGGAAGGGCTGTGGCTGGGGCAGAGCCCGGCCTCCCACTTTAATCCTCAAGGCCCCTGACTTCAGGAGTGGGGAGGGCTCTAGGGTCCTCAGGAGGGTTCCTTGGGGGCCCTGACTGCAGATGGGGCTACCTCACCCCAGGCAGCCCAGCTCCTGCCCACCTTCCACCTCTGGATCCCAGCAGCCAACTGGTGGTTGTCCCTCTCCAGAGCCTGCAGCCTGCTCCTGTGGCTGGCCAGGAAGGGGTGGGGAGGGGCAGGCGGCATCCCCATCCAGGGACCCCGCTCCTCCATCCTCTCACACCCACAGAAACCCTCACACAACTCTTGGGTTTGGGCAGGTCCAGCCTTCAGAGGGGAACGGGTCTCCTCCTGGGCCCGGGCATGCCCTCCCTGGCTGGCGTGTGGACTAGGGACCCAGGGGGCCCACTGGGCAGTGCCCACCCAGACTCACTGCAGCTCCTCCTGTGTGGATTCTGGCCTCTCTGCAGCTGTGTGAGGGGCCTGTGGTTACATGAGGGGAGAAACAAGAGGCAGCACTGGGGCCCTGAGGTCTCAAGTCGCACCCAAACCAAACCACCCAGCCGGGAAGGTAGCAGGAAGCAAACTGGGGGCATCTGGGTTGAACTGTATCCCCTGCAACAACAACACAGGATATACTGAAGTGCTCAGTACCTCGTGATGAGACAGGATCATTACAGAAGTAATCAGGCTAAAATGAAGAAACGAGGCTGGGCTTTAATCCAAGGTGACTGGAGTCCTATACACAGGGGAAATGTGGGCACAGGCCGACACACAGCGAGTCGCTGTGCGGACATCCCGGGAGGAGTGTCAAAGACTGCTACAAAGCACCAGAAGCAGTGGGCGAGGCCTAGAACAGACCCTCCCTCACAGCCCTCAGAAGGAACGAACCCTCCCGACACCCTGACCCGAAGTGCAGCCTCCAGAACCAGGAGACAGTGAACACCTGCCGCTGGAGCTACCCCGTCTTCAGCACGTTGTTACCACAGCCCCAGGAAACTCACGCAGAGGGTAAGTAGAATCCAGCCCCTGTGGCAGCTCTCTGGCCCCAAAAGGACACTGACTGCAAGGGGAACTTTCTCCTCAAAGTGGCCACACCTGCAGCAGCAGGACGTGTGCAATCGTAGTGGCGAACCTGTGACCGAACACCATGTGTTTTCATGTGCTTGTCCATGTAGCCCTCTTAAGGAAAACCGTTATTTTCACTTTTGCAGGTAAGGCCCAGAGAGGCAGAGTAACTGGCCAAGGTCACACAGCTAGTATATCCTGAAGTCCAAGATTGAAACCCACAATCTTATCCACTAATCTGGGGACAGTGCAGACTAGTGAATCCTGGGATTGGAGGCAGACTGAGCTAGAGACCCAGAGAGGGTTGGGTGGAGGAGCTTGAGGCTGGGGATGGGACTGGAGGGGGAGCATGCCAGAGCCCCCGGGAGCACTGGGTGCTGAGCTCTTGAACCCCCAGTCAGCCTGACGTTGATGCAATGTGGCTTCTTGCAGACCCTATCCAGCCACTGCCCCACCTCCGAGAGCCTCGCCCTGCTGGAAAAGCTCTGCTCGTTTGGTCCATCGGCCACTCTGCACAGGACCCCTGCCCATGACCCAGGGTCTGCACTGTAGACCACCCTGGCTGGACAGGCCCAGGGCCCAGGGCCCCCACCTGCCCTTAGAGGGTGAGTCCTGGGCTAGCCTTCCAGGGGTCTAGGGAGGGAGTAGAAACGGCCTGGAAGTCTCCGAGGGGCTGGAAGACCCTGCATGTGGGGCCCAAATTGGCCCAGGCTTATGTGTCATGTGCAGGCTACGTGCATATGGCTCCCCTGGCACCACTTCCTGCCAGGAGAGAAATCTGCCAAGGGCCCGGCCCTCTGTCACTGCATCACCTTTCACTGATGTTGTCCACTTCAGGTCCTCAGACTTCAGAGAATATAGCCCATCCAGGCCCTGAGGCTATATCCTCTCCCGCTCCGGGTCTGGTCTGAGACATAGAAAAAAAAAAAAAAGGAAAGAAAACACTGAGATTTTCTTCTGTACAAATATACAGTGGCAGACCTACACTGCAAACATAAGGAGCCGCCTCCCTCTGAGCGCAGCTCTGTTCCCGTCTAAGGTACACTGAATTGGACCAGCTCAGCCTCGAATGAGGCCCCAGGCCAGCTAAGCTCTCTCTCCCTTTCCTTCCACCCAGATCAGCAGATCAGCTGCAGTCGGGGGCCTCCTGGCAGAGGTGGATCCCAGCTGGGGTCCTTACCACTCTACCTCCCTATGGCTCCCGGGCACCTGGCTGGTGTCTGTATCTCTGTGTCTCTGTGTGTGCACATCTGGGAGTGCATGCACGTGTCTGATGTGTACCTTGGGGGGGGGGGGTGTGCATGTGTGTCTGTGTGTCTGTCTGCCCAGTAACATGAGGATGAGGATGGTGCTCTCTGGGGTCTCGCTGTGGGGATGCGCTGCTAGAATCTGTCTCTCCTGGTCATTTTAAATGGGATTGTTAGCTCGCTACCTCGTGACGCACTCAATAAAGGTTCCAACAGCGGTAGTAATAAGAGGAATAACAATAGAATACGATCTGATCTCTCTGGGCCTCTGTGAGCCAGCTGTAAATTTGATCTCTTTGCCTGTCCCTTCCAACTTTACTGAGTTCTTTTAAAATCCAGACCACGGGCCTTGATCTTTACTGACCAAGTTGTGTATTAAGCTCAGCCCTAGCCCTTTTAAGGGGCACCATGTGGAATGGCCCAGGCTCTCCAGATTGAAGCTTCTCCCTCTCCACCCTCCAGCCCTCGAGCCGCTGTGAAGCAGTCCTTGAGCAGCAGTTACAGCAGTTTCTACAGGAGCAGGAACTGCTCAAAGCACAGGTGGCAGAGGTGAGACTTTGCAGAGGGAGGGATGTGGAAGGAAGATGACCCCAGGTGGCCAGGAGCAGGTGAGGACCCGTGACAGCCCTTCCTAACTTCCGGGCCCATTCTTGCAGGTGACGGAGTGTCTTAAGAAAGCTCAGCTAGAAAGAGACGCATACGCTCAAAAACTCGAAACAGAGAAGGCGCTGGTGGCAGCAACAATTGCTGAAAATGGCAGGAGAAGTGAGAGCTGACCCTTCAGCCCCGCTCCTTAGATAGTTCACTGGATCTTCCTGGGCATCTGTAAAATGAGAATAGTCCAGCCAGGGGTGGTCACGGGACTGGGCTTTGTGGAGCTGGGGGCGGAGAGGGCGATGGTAGCCTGTCCAGCCACCAGCCCCTCTCTCCAGGGCCCTCTCCCCCTGTGCTTTGGGCAGATTGAAATATTCAAAATGGAGAAAAGCCAGGATGCAATGAAAATCGAGGAGCTGAAGAGGAGCCTTGCCCACCTACAAAACCATCTGGGTAAGATGGGGCTGGCATGACCTGGGAGCAGGACTGGCATCAGAGGGCTGTGGGGGTGGCTTAGGGTGCCCCAGGGAGGTGGGTGTCTGGAAGGGCTTTGAGGCAGAGGGAAAGAGGTCTGTGCCAGGAGATGGCAAGTCTCATAATGGCCACGAGCCTCAGTGTCCCCATCAGAAAGAGGGAGGGGTTCCCGTCGTCAGCCACCCACGGTGCTCTCGATCTGAAAGTGGCTCGGAAGACTGGCTACCATTTGGGGTTGAGGAATCATGAGCAGTGAGGGCAGGTCTGGGGAGCCTGAGAGGAGCTGTGCACCCGGAAGAGTTTTTTTTGTTTTTTGTTTTGAGAATCCAGAGGCCCTTATCGTCTGCTTCCTTTCTCAGCTGAACCCTCAATCCTGAAGCCCCCAGCAGGACACTCTGACTTGGAGAAAAACCTAAAAACTGAAACCAAGTACCTGAGAGACGAGCTGCGGGAACAGGAGAGGCTGCAGGAGGCGAAAATGAGGCTCTGGGAGCAGGAGGTGAGGCTGAGAGAACAGGAGGAGAGGCTTCTTGAGCAGGAGGGGCTCCAGGAGCAGGAGGAGGAGCTGGTGTGTTGCCCACCTGGGGAGCCTGCCCTCCTCCCCAGCCCTCCAGGCCTTTGTTTTCCCACCTGTAAAATGGGGGAGTATATGAAATGGGGCTCCTAAAGCCACCTGTGAGCCAGAGCCCTGCTCTGATGGCTGTAGGAGAAAGGAGACAATTTTTCTAACCTGCCTCCACCCTTCCCGGTGCCATGGGAGGCAGTCACAAAGTTCTGGGGTCTCCAGCTGCAGTGGGTGGCCGCTGATTGCTTCTGTCTGTCCAGAAGAACGAGAACAGGAGCGCACTGCATCTGGAGCAGGAAGGAAAGGAGCTGCAGGAGAAGCTTGATGAACAGGAGATGGTAATCTCCGTCCCATCCGGGAGGGCTGGGAGGCAGGCACCGGCCTCTGGGGAGGAGAGGTGCAAGGCCACAGGCAGCTCCACCCTGGGGCAGGTGACCCCACACCCTCCAGGGCAGTCCTGTGACCGTTTCTGGCTTCCTGCCCTCTGACTTTTAGAGGCGGGTAGCCCTGGGCTCCTCCCAGGTCTGAACATCATCATCCCAGCTCGAGGCATGGAGCCCCCCAGTCATAGGGCAAGAGACAGTGGTGTGAGAGGCTCTTTGTGCTGGGTGCGGTGGCTCACCCCTGTCATCCCAGCACTTTGGGAGGCTGAGGCAGGAGAATCACTTAAGATCAGGAGTTTGAGATCAGCCTGGCCAACATGGCGAAACCTCATCTCTACTAAAATTACAACCACCACCACCACAACAAAGCTGGGTGTGGTGACGCACACCAGTAATCCCAGCTTCTCCGGGGACTGAGGCATGAGCATCGCTTGAGTCCGGGAGCATGTATAGTCATTATGGAATTCAGATACAATTTGCTTATGTTCTGCTATGATATTTGATGGAATCCTGATCACAGTAACCTCTTAATTAGCTCAATATGTACTTTGCCCTCACAAGCACACTGTTTATTACCCTGTAAGATGCCACTATGAGTACTGAGATTTAGAGCTGTCGAAAGGCCGAGAACTGGAAACAGCCTTTCTTCCATGTTCTATGCATTGCAAATGAGAGTAATAACATTTTGGGAGCTTTTAAAATCTGACAGAAGAGGAAAGTGGCCTGCTCTGGCAGGTCTGTGCAGAATAGAGTATTTCATTCATTCCCATGCCGAGAATGAGCACTGTGCTATGGCAGTTCTTTTAGGGTTTTTCTGTGCTCTGGGCTCATGAAGATAGTGCATCATGAGCTGTGGCAGCTGTACTCTTTTTTGATGACCTAAAAAAGGATGATTTCTGAGGAATAAAGGGCTCCCATCTTTGACAGTGGATGTGAAAAACCTTTCCTAGCCTAGAGCATTTATATCTATAACACATTGTAAAGTCAGAGTTCATGTTACCTGTTTTAACACATGACTCCAAGTCTCAGTACACAAAAGGGCACTGGTTGGCATTCTTCTTAATGTATTTAGTAAAGATCATAAGAAATCCTTTAAGATAAAGTGTAATATATATACATATATGAATGGAAATTTGTATCATAGAGTGGATAGGCACTAGATATTGACGAGTGAACAGTTAATGTTTTAGGACACTTGGTATAGTGCCTTGCACACAGAAAGAGACCATGGATCCTTTTGTATCATTTCAGTTTTAAAAATTGCTATTTATTACAGTTCACATAGCAAGTTGCTGATAAAATGTCCATTTTATAAAACATCTCCAACAATAAAAAAAGAAATTTTTTTTTTTTTTTTTTTTTTTTTTTTTTTTTTGAGAAGGAGTTTCGCTCTTGTTACCCAGGCTGGAGTGCAATGGCGCGATCTCGGCTCACCGCAACCTCCGCCTCCTGGGTTCAGGCAATTCTCCTGCCTCAGCCTCCTGAGGAGCTGGGATTACAGGCACGTGCCACCATGCCCAGCTAATTTTTTGTATTTTTAGTAGAGACGGGGTTTCACCATGTTGACCAGGTTGGTCTCGATCTCTCGACCTTGTGATCCACCCGCCTCGGCCTCCCAAAGTGCTGGGACTACAGGCTTGAGCCACCGCGCCCGGCCTAAAAAAAGAAATTTTTTAAGAGTTTAAATATCCAGAAAAAGAAATAATTTTTTTTTTTTTTTTTTTTTGAGACAGAGTGTCGCTCTTGTTACCCAGGCTGGAGTGCAATGGCACGATCTCGGCTCACCACAACCTCCGCCTCCTGGGTTCAGGCAATTCTCCTGCCTCAGCCTCCTGAGTAGCTGGGATTACAGGCACGCGCCACCATGCCCAGCTAATTTTTTGTATTTTTAGTAGAGACGGGGTTCACCACGTTGACCAGGATGGTCTCGATCTCTCGACCTCGTGATCCACCCGCCTCGGCCTCCCAAAGTGCTGGGATTACAGGCTTGAGCCACCGCGCCCGGCCTAAAATTTTTAATAAAAAATTGTAAAACGTTTAAATGTCCCTGGAACAGGCATATGGGTGGCAGTCAAGAATGAATTAGAGTGCAGGAAAGCCGTGTGACACCTGGCATCCCTCTGTGTTCATGGAGCTTCTTTGAGGCTAGATTGATGTGACCATCCAGACTTCTCTGGCTAATACCTATTCTTCAACCACATTGGTTACTCTGACATGGGAATTGCCTTCTTTTTCTTGAATAGAAAGGACTTTAAACAATAATCACAAACAAAAAATAATCACAAACGTTATAAACGAATATATGTGACAATACTTGGCTGAAACCAAAAGGAGTTTCAGTAGACAGAATTGTACTATGTTTGAAAATCAAAGAGTTTATGCAGCTTAAAATGTGTATAGACTGCAGTGCCATCTACTGTTTGTGAATGTCGGCGTATTATCAGGAAAACCGTGTATACAGTCACAGTTGTATTTCCTCACCAAGTTCTTCACCAAGAGTGAAGTATGTTTTTGTGCCTTTCGGTTTCAGTTAGAGGCATATTTTGTGCAAGATGTATGTTAATGTGCCTCTACATTATGAATGAATTCTTTCAGTCAGACATTGTCTAAATCATAACTTATGATGCTTGGGAAAAAAATCAACAGTTGAAATTTCATGAAATTCTAATATTTGTATGCCAAATACGTCCCATTGTTAGGATGGAGGGAGATATGTATTTGTGCTCCTTGAAGTGGAGATTCCTAGTTACTGACCATCTCCATGTTTAGCATTTTTCATGATACTTTCATAAATATGACATTAACAGGAGAGCACTAATATGATTTTACAGATGGAATAACATATTTGTCTGCATTAACTGAAAGAGTGCAAATATTGGTTCGTGGTGACTTGAGCTGACTCCTCCAAAAAGCAGGAATTTATCAACGTATCAGATAAACCCAGTTTCAGAATGATCAAGGAAAAACGTTAGCTTTTTCTTAAATAGATGACAAATACCTACATAGAGTGATACTTTAGTTAATGTAGTAATGTATTTTCCAGACTGACATTCAGCTTAAATATGCCTGCATGTGATTTACTCCATAGGTAACTGATGAACCATTCTTGTCAGATTGGGTACAGATGCTAAACACTATCTGAAGGTCATTCCTAGTCATTTATATTTCTTAGGGTAAAAGTAAAGTGATTCGAACTATCAAAAGACCTTTGAAATAATTTATCAATGTATTAGATAACTCAGTTTCAGAATGATCAAGAAAAACGTTAGCCCAAATAATGCAGCTAATTAACAGTGGTACAATTTATAGCCGGGGATTTAAAATGGACTTAAAGTCTGTCTTGTGTTTTATTTTTGAACTTGCCGCTTTTGCATTCTGTGAGTCGGGCTAGAAATCGTGCCTCTGATAATCAGCCACATTATCTGGGCTAACGTTTTTTCTTGATCATTCTGAAACTGAGTTTATCTAGTACATTGATAAATTATTTCAAAGGTCTTTTGATAGTTCAAACCACTTCACTTTTACCCTAAGAAATATAAATGACTAGGAATGACCTTGACATAGTGTTTAGCATCTGTATCCAATCTGACAAGAATGTGTTCATCAGGTACCTATGGAGTAAATCACATACAGGCGTATTTAAGCTGAATGTCAGTCTGGAAAATACATTTACTATATTAACAGAAACATCACTCTGTGTAGGTATTTTGTCATCTATTTAAGAGAAAGCTAAAAAGAATGGAAATCATATGACAGTGACTTAAGTCTTTCTTCAAAGTGCATGTGAGTCTTTTGCAGTACTTCATTCAGCCAAGTATCTGTTCTTTGCTTAGAAGGCAACATCAGAAGGTTAGCATTCATCAAAAACACAGAATTTTATTTTTTTCCTATTTGTGTCTGTTTATTTTAGATAACTGAAACTTCACAGACTTCAACAGCAAACAAAGTTTAAAAAATTCAGTTCTGTACTTTAGCTTCAACTATTTCTATTTTATAATCTATAAGGCTCATGCCATAGTTCAGCACCAACAGGATCCACACAAAACTGTTAAAGCATCTTCTTATTCATCCTGTGTGATAGTTTTTGTTTGTTGTTGTTGTTTTTTAAGGTAAAAGTCCTACTTTCAGACCTTGAAGTGGAATCCCTCTAGTCAGAGTATAAAACTTGGGTTGTACCTTCTTATTTTCATTGAACAGATACAAAAAAAAAAAAAAAGGAACTGTGTTCCACCATTGATTTAGGTTGTCAGTCTATATGTTGAATTTATAACACCGAAGGGTCAGAAGGAACATAACAATGCCCTGCCCTATTCTTCCCCTCCATTTTAAAGTTTTAGAAAGGTAACCAGAAAAATGTTTCATTTATTCTTTAAAATAAGGTGCAAAGAAGGATTACAACAACAAACGTCCTCATCCACACCTCCAGCAACATCTCACTATTTAGCATAATCTACCATGAACGGATTCAGGGGCTCACCTAGAGCTATATT